GATGTCACTTTCTGATTCTTCAACAATCTTTTCTCATGGAGAACCTTATCAGATAAAGAAAGATGATCCATTTACATTTGTTGTCCCAGGTGCAAACGTCTTGACAACTTTATAGAACAGGTAAATTGTAGGTTAGCTTCTAGCTCAAGTGGGGCGGTGGGGTAGCCTAGTGGTTCAAGCGTTCGCTCGCCACGCCGAAGACCAGGGTTCGATTCCCCACATGGGTACAATGTGTGAAGCCCATTTCTGGTGTCCCATGCCGTGATATTGCTGGAATTTTGCTAAACGCGACGTAATACCATACTCACTCACTCACTCACTCACTCTAGCTCAATTGCAAATACCGAAGCCATACACGACAAGCCCTCTTAAAAAGCTTAATAGTGTTTGTCTTGCTGATGGTGGAGACTTGAGCTAAGACATCAGCAACTGTTGTCACGGGGATAGTCCTATCTGATCCCTCGTCGTTTGTAGTGAGAGGTTTATCACCCTTCTCCTAAATCTGAACAATAGCAAGGCTGTAGATGTTTGTAAATATTTTTTGTGCGAAACACACTTGTTTATATACTGTCAAGGTATATTCTTTCAACAAACCCTTTCAATCGACGCTTGTAATAATGATACTGACGACGTGAAATACTCGTCTCTCGAGGTACAAGGAAAAATATGACATCACTCGGGAACACTTTGTATCATAAAATGACTTCGACATAGCATATGTTGTTTATTAAACCTTTATTCGACTTAAGAAAATAGAACCAAGTCTAGATTTCTTCAAGTTCTGATTTTCTCATCTCACTGGGGCTCCTTATCAATTTAAAAGTTTCTTTGCATCTTTCAAAATTATCTCTTGTCAGAGCCATTGTAACAAAACGATGATCACAGGTGGCCTTAATGTTCTTGACCCGTTCGCTATGCAGTTGCGTCCCTTATCAGCTAGGATTCGATGATCGTGGGTTCGAATCCTAGATTCGCCCTGTTTATACATGATCCTTGGTCCATAAGCACTCTAAGTACAGCAATATGTTTCACAAAGGGGTAGATGTCATCTTAACCCAGCTCCCTAACCGGAACCAGTTCACTCACACCTTATAAAACATTCCGAAAATGACTTTTATTGTTAAATAGTTGTAGGTTTAATAGATATAATATTTTTACATGTTTAGATTACATTTTGTCCAGGGCCTCGTTGTACAAAGCTGCCATAGCACAACGTAGCCGTAAACCTGTGTTTAAGTACAGCGATACGATGGTCTGATTGCTATGATATCTTTGTTGAACGGACCCCTGGACTGAAGCCGAGACATATAGGTGGCCTGGCCCTCGGGGAATTTGACTGACCTTGACACCGTAACTGCATCAGTCTGTGGTTATTGACTGACGAACGCTTCACCTGTTATTCCACAGTTGTTCACATCGCATCTTTCAGCATAGTGTGGCAATTAGAGGGAAATACTTTATCAGCTGGGTTTTAAAAGCCAATAAGCCATGTTAATGTCGGAACTCAAACTGAATTAAGTGCTTTGTGGTTGACCCAGTTTTAATATAAGTGAATTTCTGTCTTCGACACAGATCCGTGATTGGTTTGAAGACGGATTTCTTTTTCCGTGGGGTTATGAAACAGGTTTTCATGCCGATGAGGTGCCGGAAAGCGTTTCCTTACCTTGGGATTTTGGAAAGGATTTTCTGTTAATGAGATCATAGAAATCTTTTTTAGTCACCTGGGTCATGCAAAGAATATTAATTCTTTGTGAATTCCAGAAAGAGAGAGCATATAATTTTGGTTTAGTTGGATAGGGTCATCGGTTTTCTTTAATTTTTACGTATATTGGACCTCCAGCATGTTCTTGATGTTTACACTCTAATCACATGCCCTTTGGTAGTCTGCCATACAGACCCTGAACCTAATATATACAGGAAAGCCCATGCAAGTCCAGATAGCCACGGTTTCAGGAAATGAAGAAAGTCTAGGCTGTTGGCTCCTTTTTATTATGTTTTATGTATATAATTTAGAAACTGTTATTTGTTCGGTAAACTATGTTTATTTCTGCGACTACATGTTAGTCCATCTCGGTGGGAGAGGATGAAAATATACTGCTCTTCAAGTAGAATCAGTATAGTTCAAGGTCATTTAAGAAGTACCGAACCCTAGAGCTCTGGAAATGAAGGCTCCCAGTATAGGTAGCCCGTACTTCTCTTAGTATACTATAGTGTTTCACTTAACCAAATTAACGAAAATACCCGATGACAAAACAAATTGTACTTCCTTGCAGATTCCTCAGTTCGTGACGTCTTTCATAATCCAAATCCACCTTCAAGTCACTGTTATTGCCAAAACAAATACTATTTCAGGTTGGAACTAAAGAATTCCCGTGTGTGCAAAAAGACGTTTCTGACTGGTATATGGGGGGCCTTCTTTCTCGTTAGGAGCGCCGAGTTCTATTCATATCTAAGCAAGCCTGGTTGGTACTTGACGGCGAGAAGACCAGTGTTGGTGGAACTCTATAATCACTTTACCGGAGCAGTCAACAAATTGCTCTGTGGGAGCTCGCCCACCGCATACCAACCTGTTACAGGCCTGGGGTCTGTTATAGTCTGTCTTTCCATGTCAGCGATACATGTAGGATAGTGAGGTTGCCTTACTTAAAGGCGCCTTCGTACGTCGTAACGGAAGGTATTATGCTGTATAGGCGTGACAAATATGGGTGAATCAGAATCTCATTTGAATCTTTTTTGCCCGGCAATAGTGTTTACTCAACAGTTTCTTGACGTATTGGTGTTTACGACCTGAGCGTAATTTGTTCACGTTGTACGGCCTTCACTCGTACGTATTTTATTACCATTGTACGGTATTCACTTAATGATGATTATTGCTTCCAGTTTTCAGGTAACTTGTTTACGTTTTACTGTCTTCACTCATAGGTATCAATTTTTTACCATACGATATTCACTCAAGGATGATTACAGCTGAAAGTTTTCACGTAATTTGTTAACTCTGATGATACTTACATTATACGTTCTTCGCGTTGTTTCGTTTAAACCGTGCGTTTCAACTCATTGTTATTTGTATTTTACGGTTATGACGATGTTTTGTATATTTACACCTGTATTGGTGCTTCATGTGATTATTGGACTTCGTGTTATTGTGATTAGACTGCTTCGTCTTCGTGTATTTGTGTATTTGTTTTCATGTAATAGTGATTGGGGAAATAATATTTAAGCAATGTTTAGACTGCATTGTCTTCAAGTAATGGCGTTTATGTTACATGGTATGTTTTCTTGTACCCCTCACGATCTTTCTGTGATAATATAGTCTATTGTACTGGATCCTCTAGATTAGTGTATGAGTGAGTTTAGTTTTACGCCGCTTTCAGCAATATTGCGGCAATATCACGGTGGGGGACACCAGAAATGGGCTTCACACATTGTACCCTTGTGTGGAATCGAACCCGGTTTTTCGACGTGACGAGCGAACGCTTTAAGCACTAGGCTAACGCACCGACCCGGATCCCCTAGACTAACGCTTAGTCTCTGAAAATATACAATTGTGCGAGAGACTATGGATTCCTGAACAATCAGCACTCTACAGCATCGCTGGAAGAAACATTACCTCGTTACCTCAGAGGTCAGAGAGGTCATGGTCACGGAGAGGTTCGCACGGTAGACTTGTCATGTATGCGATGACATATCAGCAGATCTGCGAAATGTTTAGCTTGTTCTCCCGAACTAGCAACAGTGAAATATCAACAAAAACAATACTGATCTCCTTATCGGATTCTGCAAATTCCGAGTCAAAATAACATTCCAATACCCCAGTGCCTCACATAGTCGATGAAACCGGACATTGGGCGGTTGTCTTTGTGTCAAAGACCACAGCTGACGCTGTCAACCTTCGGTTTTCCTTGGTCAGGCTCGAAACGTTCAGAACGTAGTGATGTGAAAATAATGTTACACATTTCGAACGTTAAAGCCCATTCACTCTACCATATCATGTTATTTCCCAGTAAATCTCATATTCGAACGTCACGCCAAGGATCGAGTTCGATTCCACACATGAGTGCATTGTGTGAGCATCTAATAGGAACCATGAATACTGTACCTTCCTTTACCCACTGAAATGACTTGATGTAGTGGAACAACTAGACTAATGCTTAGTCTCTGAATATATATAATTTTGATAGTAACAAACAAACTCATTTAAATTGAAAAGGAGCCCCAAGGAGACCAGAGATTCAGAACCTGAGGAAATTTGGACTTGCTTTATTTAGGGCCTTAGCACTGCAGAGAGGGCTTGGCAGGAGGGAAATAATGTGGTTCAGGGGACTGTGAGACAGACTATGGAACAACTTGTTGTCCGTGTGTTCTCGACGAAGTCTCATCAGTACCAGCTGAGTACATGCACTGACATTTGATAGGGGTTAGAGCAGTGTGGAACATCATGCTTAAAACCTGGGGATATCCCAAGCATCATGGGCAGATTGTTGGAGAATTACTAATGATACTGTAGTAAGTATATGTTACATTAAGGTTAACATAGTGCAATATACAATATGTGGTCCAAAGGTCCGGTCCAAAGGTAGATCTATAGACTTATACAGGAACTTAGACCGGTTGTGCTTGTTCAGTGCACTCACCTTCCGAACGTTTTTGTTCATCCCAGGCAAGTCTACAATTCTGTAGCAAGTCAAGATTTCTTTAGTTTGTGAGAACTAGCGGATATACGAATAAGAACTGTTTCAGTGCTGGTGTAAATAAGCGAACTGGCTGTAGAGGCGCCATCTTGATGAAGCAGCTACTAGCTGCCACGAATGACTGATTGATTTATTGATTGATTGAGTGAGTGAGTGAGTGAGTGAGTGAGTGAGTGACAGTGTGACTGAGTGACTGAGTTTATGATATATGCTTAACGCCGAATCAGCTATATTCTAAATAGGATCCTCGACAATCAAAGCCTAGTTTCCTTGACGTGGAATCACATTAACTTGCTGTTACTATTCCAGGTGTTCTCCAACAGCCCTGCGGAAGGTGTGCTCCAGAGAGGTGACGTCATTGTTTCCATCGGCAACAGGAACGGCGACGAGTTGACACACAAGCAAGCCAAGGACCTCATAGAGGGAGGCGGAGGACAGATCAACCTTGTTGTTACCAGGTAACCATACCTTAATGAGTCCGATATACCGGTATCTGATTGGTTGCATCTCTATTCTCTAATGATAAATACTGTGAACGCCGCAAGACTTTCATTCCGGAAATGACATCACAAGTATATATTTCTCACATGGTATCAGCAACCAATCATCTTGTTTCTGGACTCGAGTTAGGCATAGATTTACGTAATTCTGTTGCCTAATCGGTCACTCAATTTGAGAATTTGATTCAACGTCTACGTTTACAAAATGTGTCATATTAGAAAATGATTTACAGTAAACTGTGTCAACGCCATTTTGTCAGATATACAACTAATAATCTCTTCTCTTAGTCGGTAACAGGCGAAATTTAGCTAAACCGACGTACAAAAGAAAGTACACACCTGGTGTTTTGGGATTATTTGAAAAGTGTTGTAATTTTGACTGGCAACTTTGCAATTGGGCACGATATCTGTGGTGTTTTGGCAACTAGGAAAGTGTGTGACTTATATATCACTGTAAAAACTCTCTTCAAACCATTTACGTCGCTCTTTGGAAAGTAGTCCAAAAGCACCAGGTGTGTACTTTCTTTTGTACGTCAGTTTAGCCTGTTTTGGCTTTTAGTGTTTCCGTTAACCCGAATACTGATTGACCAGATCAAATGTTCAAAATTCATATTTTTATTTATCAAGCTCTGGACATCTTCGTGAAGATACAAAGCTTTGCCTACTAGGCTTACACTCACAATATGGAATCAAACACGGGCTTTCAGTACACAGAGTGGACGCTTTATACACTCGGCTACCCACTGACCCACTTTACAAGTACTACAGTATAACACTCAACCTCACCATATTTTCAAGAATTAGGTTTTTTGCTGTAAAGCCTTGTTTCAAACTCTGCTGAGGTCGACACGTTATAACTCTCAGAAAATTTGATTTGGAAAGCATAAACTCTCATCTTCCTCTTCCAGAAAACAATCTGAGCATATTAGCATATTTATCATTTAGGTCATTTGGGTTGTAAGGGACGTAGAGCGAGTATATTTTGTATAACAGACCTTGAACTTAAATCAAGGGAAACAACTCTTGAAACAACTGAAGTACATAACCGACCGTTAAAAATTCTCACGCCAGTGACTATTGACCAGTAAACGGTCAATTGTGACTTCAATAAACTGTTATTTTTTTCCAGAACGGGTAGTCCGTCCACCGTGTAAGTATATATGTGTAGATAGGTAAACTCTATATGTTTTGTTTGCAAAGAAAGTGGATGTGGTGAGTATTTGCCTGTATATATCTACAATGCACACTGTCCACACTGAAACACGTAAGTATCCCACGTAGTTAGCTGTCCGCACTGACCACTCTGTCACGTGGAGTTAGATAGGCCATGTCCTTATCTCATGCACTGACTCCATTCTCTGGAATCTCCATAAGCATGTTCTATATCTATACAAAGCGATATACAGGTGTAGATTGTGTTTATCATAATATTCAACTGACCATTTGATATTCTTGGGTGCCTGGGATCTTCCTGGAAAAAAATAATTTGTTCCAGAAAATACTGTAAACAATATGTTAACTCTAATTAATTCACTGACTCCTCTTAAACATATGGGATATAAAAACATATTCTGTCTTCAGAAAAAAATAACAGGTCCCTCTTCCCGCACTCATAAACACCACTCCTCACCCTCAGCAGAATATCACATGGTCAGTAGCTTATGCGAAATTTCATCAACAGAAGCAAACTAAGCTGATAAATAAACAAATACGATAATTCTATATGGTCACCAAACACCATAATACTTGATGTTGTTGATTAAAATAGGCATGTTGTACACTTGTTGTTATCGTTATTTACAACATTCCATAGATCATGTAGTGTTGTTAACTCGTACACATAAGGAGCAGTACTTTGATACTCATGTCAGTAATATACGCAACGCAGTATAAGTTTAGTCTGTCTTTTTACGGGGTTATCAATGACGATTAATCTAAACCGGTTTCTCTGAATGCAAATCACCCGAACTCATCGCAGTGGACACTTTGATTGACGTGTCAGTCGTCGTGTTCATGTCATGTAAGCCGATTCATGTAGGTTTGTCCTAGATTTCAGAACTGTAAAGCGCTCTTGCCGGAAAACACATTGAAAATTGCCCCTATTTGGCAATCAAATAATTATTGAACTTGTTCGTTTCAGACCTCCTCCAGGGCGACACGATACGCAATCGGTATGTAACAATATACAAGCATTGGAATGTAACGTGTGATATCATCCCCGATATACAGGAATTGGAATGTATCGTGTGATAGTATCCTCTATATACAGGCATTGGTATATAATTTGTGATATCATCCTCGATATAGAGGCATTGGTATGTAACTTGTGATATCATCCCCGATATACAGGCATTGGTATGTAACTTGTGAGAGCATCCTCGATATACTGGCACTGGTATGTAACTTGTGATATCATACCCGATATACAGGCATTGGTACGTAACTTGTGAGAGTATCCTCGATATACAGGCATTGGTATGTAACTTGTGAGAGCATCCTCGATATACAGGCAATGGTATGTAAGTTGTAATACATACGTTATGCAGGCATTGGTATGTAACTTGAGGTGCCTTTTACGAAACACAGCTGTCGGTTTTTTACACCTGATATACACGACATATTAGTCTGTCGTACAGACCCTGAAGCAAATATATCCAAGAAAGCCCACACAAGTCTAGAAAATGTGGCAAGTCTAGATTTCCTCAGCTTCTGAAAATGAAGAAAGGATCAGGGCTCCTTTTCATTATATATATATTTTTTTTACTATGAACTTTTTTCAGTAAAATATGTTCATTTCAGAGACTAGTTGTTAGTCTAACGACATATATACATCGGCATATAACTTGAAATATCAAATACAATATACGTCACTTGAAACATGAGAATCATATGACGGTTGCACAACAACTTGTTAGCTCAATGTGGGATGAAAACTCTCCGCGACGAGCATGGTGTTTTTCTGAAAAGAAAGCCCCAAACAAAACAACAACAAAACATAACCGGTTCTCCAAAGTTGAATGCAGCGCATATTAACGACTTTCATCAGTCAAGAAGATAGTTCCAGTAGTTCAGGGATTCTTTTAATTGTTTTAAATGGGGTAAGGGCCCCAGTCACCAATTCATATGTTAAAACAAATCTTGTTGGAAATATTTAAGCATTCTTCGCAATTAACGTTGTAATTCTATTTACCAGTCATTTCGTACCCCGGCGCCAGTTGCACCACGAACCAACCCGCCTAAAGCAATGCCTTCCTATGGCGGTGGCGGTGGATCAGCCGGACACAAACCCAAGAAGGTCAACCTGTCCAGATTGGGTGGTGGCGGTCCTGACTTTGGTTCCGACTTCACGCGTCCAAACCTCCAAGCTCCTCAACAAGCTTCAAGGCCATCGTACCGTCCAGTTGGAGGTCAAGGTCAAATGCTGAACAAGGTCCAGGAGAGTCTAGACAGCATCATTTACTCCCCGCGCTCCCCCGACCCTTATCAACAGGCTCCTTTCTATGGCCAGCAACAGCAACAATCCTATCAGCAACCTACTCAGCAACAACAGATTTACCAGCAGCCAGCCCCGCCACCACCCTTCCAGCCCAACATGTCATTGGGAGGTCCCGTCTCCCCAGGGGGAGGCTACCGACCAACATTTGAGCAGATCGACAGTGGACAATACGCGGAGGATGAAGAGGATTTTGTTCCTGTGTGGGAGAGGAGGAAAACTTTCCAGGACCAGAGGCCGGCAGGTGAGACTAGAGGATGGATAAGTAGGTAAAACAGAATATCTTTTAAAGCGCTGACTGGCATTCCCTTTATCTGGAATATTTGTATTACGAATACAATTGTATTAACCACAATACAATTGTATTAACCACAAGGTAGTTGTGAAAGGTGCTTGCAAATAGGAATAAAAAGCCTTCTTGATCAGAATGTTTGGACATACGAGCAATTTGATGAGTTCCTTTTGTTTGGAGTGAGAGTTTTTGACCCCTGTGATCTGTAAATCGGTTAGATTACGGCGAGGCAGCTGAAGTTGAAAGAATGTCTAACATGATGCTGGCTGTCACAGATACAAGCAACAGATGGACAAATAACAGTTCATAGATGTTGCTGACAAACGATGGATCATAATTTAGACAAATACAGAATTCGAACTGCTAACAGTTTACAGTTTACAGTTTGTTTATTCTCAGAAGAACCCACCAACGGTGGTACATGAGAAAAGTTCAATATAAAATTACACATGATAATATAATCAAGATGACAGGAATATAAGGTCAATACATATGGTGAGTGAGATTTTCAGTGAAATATGGCAAAATTAAGTTACATGAGTTCCCATAACCAAGGGAGGCAACTCAGTGCCGAGAGACGTGGCCCCTTAACCCCCTGGCCACCATCTCAGTACGCGATGACGTGGAACTTTGAGGTTTTAACTTCGGTGCTATATTGTACCTGTAAGGTTGTCGTGATACTTTACGAATAATACACATAATTGTGGAACATTGTCTGAACAGTGCGATACATAGTCTGTCTCACGGTCCCTGAACCATATTATTTTCCCTACCAGCCTAGCCCTGCCTGCAATGCTAAAGTCCTAAATAAAGCAAGTCTAGTTTTCCTCAGGTTCACCGATTACGGATTCCTGCTACATCTTTTTTCAGTTACTAAATCGGTGAGGGCAACTCCAGTACCAAAAGTACCAAGACCGGTGGGGAAGTCCCCAGATGCGCCTTCCTTTGGTATAGACTACTCCGCACCAGGGGCACGGCCTGCCAGCGTCAAGTGGACACCCCAGAAGGCACCCCCCAGGCAGTATCAGCAGCCCGTGCAGTCGGAGCCACCACGCTACCAGAACGAGCCCGAGGTCCGAGCTCCCTGGAGAGAGAGTCTACGAAGCACTGGAGTAAAGCCTTGGGATGTAGACTTGGACTACACAAGCCAACAGCCTACCCCCAGGTCTGGAGCTTACAATCCTATGAGTGATCCTCAGACGGCCACTCAATTCGACCCCAACCCTGCTGCCCCGTATCAGGAGGAGCAGGGTGAGGGGCAGGATGTCAATGGCCCAAAGGTTGTCCATCTGCAATATAACTCCCCTATGGGCCTGTATTCAAAGGAAAATGTACAGGAAACAAAAGCTGGTCAGACAAAAGCGTCGCTGTGAGTTACTGTTTGTCCACCCCTGCCCGCGTTGAGAGTGGCGTCGTGTAGATGCTGCATGTCCTCTCGTTCCTGTGGTCTCAGCAGCTCCTCTCGGTACCCATGTAGAAAGCCAGTGCTTGGTATAAGCAGGGAGTCTATATAACTGTTATGTAGATCCCCTGCTAGCTATACTACGGTCATATCAGTCGCAGTAACGCTCGTAGAAAATGGCTAGAGATAACTGCACGTTTAGGAACCGTTAATAATTTATGTCTAGGGGTGATGATGATTTTTATGGAGAATGTACAATGTGAATGACCCACCCCAACAATTTATGTACAAAGAAAGTTACCCCCATGCATGTCATGTTCAAAATCAATGAACCCCTTTCACATACTTTTTAAATATTTTTATGTACAAAATTGCTGCTCCTACCCCCACCACCTAGTACACGTGTCAAACATTGATGACCTCCCAAGAACAAAATGGGTGACCCCCTTAAAATCATCATCCCCCATCAAACCCCAAGCCATAAATTATGAACGGTCCCTTATTGTTGATTGCAAGTTTTCATAGTAAAAATCATCATTGCACATAAAACCTTTTATAAAATACGTGTATTAACTGTCACAAATTCAATTATGATCACCTAATTAGTAAAATATACCCGTATATGAATGAAAGTAGATTATTATTTATTCGTCACTGTCCTTGTAAAGGGAGATAATAGCGATATACCAAGCACCTGCCTTTACTGGTCTCGTACCAACATGATGTCCACGTTCTTCTATTGAGGGTTCAGCCTTATTTGGAATATAGCAACCCCTGAACCCTAGCCTAGAGCCTTTGTCTTTTCTGACTGGTTAATACACATACCGGATATGACGTGTCACCCACCAATGCACGTGCCAACCTTATCCTGTAAATAGCATTGAATGAGTTTGTTTATATTATTGAATGCATCATCCGAATCCATTATATGAATACCTAATTGGTAATACAAATGCCATCTGCCTTCATATGTTAACCATACTTTAAATATCCATCACGTTCATCTATGACTGTTTTTCGATATTAACGTTTTGACTAATTTGTTTATTGTCATTTCATCAATAATTTACTTTTGAAAATCTAGGCATGACTGTTCTCTTCTGACTACATCTCAACAAACTAAACTCATATTATTTGAGAATAATAACTCGTAAAAAAATTGCACCTTTCCATTGGTAACAGAAGTCTATTCCAGGTGTATGCGATGATAATTAATGTTTCAACTTCACATCTATTCATTTAGCCAAACAAAAACCCAAAAAAAAGAAAAAAGGCAATCGTATGTTGAAATCAATCAGTGATGACATGACTTAAGTGGTTTAAATCTTAGGCAAACACATTCGATGAGAAATCGTTGATGACGAGTATGTAAGAGATCCAGTGTAACCTTCTCTTCCCTGTTTATACAGCGCCCAGCCACAGGCACCACAGGCACAAGGTAAACCAGCCAAGGAAGGAGATCGGGACTGGAACCAATCAGCTGTGTTTAGAATGATTCAACAAGAAGAGCGCCGCCCAGGACAAGCTCCTGCCAGGGCTGCCCCAGCTCCTGCCCCTGGTAGAGGTGCTCCTGTGCCACCCCCGCCCCCAAAACCAGCCCCTCAGTTCCAAGCATCTGCCAAATTCAGCGCACCTGCCCAATTCAATGCACCTGGTCTTGAGGATGAGTTGGGGGTGTCTGACTTCTAAGGCTGCGGATGAGGAGCAGGGACAAGGAGTTTGAAGACGTTGCTGTACATGTTCCAAACACTAACTAATGATGGGCGAATCTACGCCAGTCTGGCCCATCACGGCTTTGTGATGGTAGAGTCATTTTGTTCTAAGTCACATGTACTACTAGCTACTACACGGCTGGTTACTGAAGTAGAGGGTGTAGAATATGATTATACGATGTTTGGTGTTCCTTTTTTTGTTTAATTTATTCACTACGGGCCGAGGACGCAAGTGCAATATGAGGTTTTATACCCTTTATTTATTAGTCCCCTTGGCAAGGTAGACTTTTTTGTACATTATCCCACAGGTGAGTTGATCGCCATGCTGATGATACCACATTGTGTTCCTATTGTACAAAGTATAAATGAAGCCAGATGGTACCAATATATAGCGTCGGGTGATGACGCTTTACGTCAAACTCAAGGTCAAGGTCAGCAGAGTTGGTTAAAAAGCTGGCAGAATGAACGGCATTCCATGGTTGGAACAACTCAGCTTTATTTGTTAAAATAACTTTCGCCACAGCTATAAAATTATCGAACATGTACCATGTCAATTATATGCCATTCGTCATTCAAGCTGGCTTTCACTACTAACTTCAATGGTCGTTTTGATGAAGAAACCACGTGGTTAATCTTAGAACCTGGTCTGAGTTTTCGATATTTTTGGAGTGTTGTTGTGTAGTCCTATAGACGATCAAAACCATGCTGGTGCCTTGTTTGGTGATTTGATATATATTGTGTGAAGACTATGTAATATTACTCATTATCATAAGAGGTTGCAGGACAGGATACTGCCATATGGAATATATTGTATTAACAAAACGTTGTAGTAAGTTCCACCGCTCGCTAAGTCTCTACCGTCCTTCAAGGAATAAACTGTGATCCATTGAAATTTGAATTTTTCATTTTTCTATCAGGGTGAAACGTGATCTGGCAATGGCGCGCAAGACCTAAAAGATATCCGGGTGGTGGGGTAGCCTAGTGGTTAAAGCGTTCGTTTGTCGCGCCGAAGGACTGGGTTCGATTCCTGAGCACAACGTTTGAAGCCCATTTCTGGTGTCCTCCGCCATGCTCTTGCTTGAATATTGCTAAAAGCGGCGTAAAACACAACTCACCCACTAACAGACATCCATGTCTGGACTTAACAATAGGAGTGAGTGAGTGAGTCAGTGAGTGAGTATGGTTTTACCAATCGAACCCGGCTGTTCGGCGTGACAAGCGAACCACGAACCACTAAGCTACCCCACCGCCCCCTTTACAATAGGAAAACATATGGCAACAATACATTATTTATCAGATTTTCATGCACATTTTGACAAATGTTTTAGAAAAACTGCTGAAAACACGTGTATCGAAAGATGAGATTCAGTTCAGTCTAAGGACAGAATGCCTTTGAGATTTCAATACACAGGAGTGTTGAATGTATTTGGTCGCCATATAGATGGAATATTACTGAGTGTATCGTTAAACAGCAAACAATCAAAACAACACACCTATCAGCCGTGAATGCATACCGCCACTATTTTATCTCGAGGTTTAACCAACGAAATGGAGATGAGAACTGGATCATTACAGTGAGGAAAACCATGCCGCCCAAACCAATAAGCTCTCTGACGGCAACATCGGTAATATTAACCTGCAACATAAGATGGCTATCTAGCCTCTACATTGCTTCTGTATCATTGCAACGATAGTGAGTGAGTGAGTTTAGGTTAACGCCGCTTTAGCAATATCCCAGTAACATCACGGTGGAGGACACCAGAAATGAGCTTCTCATATTGTACCCATGTGGGGAATCTAACCCGGGTTTTCGGCGTGACGGGCGAACGCTTTAACCACTGGGCTACCTCCACCGCCCTACAACTATAGGGGTCGCGACCACATCACGCCGATCCTGAAGATCTTGCATTGGCTGTCATTTCACCTCCGGTGTCAGTACAAGATCTTGATGCACGTGTACAAATACATAGCACTGCTCCAACATCCAACATATCTCAAGGAGCTCACCATGAGCCACCGCAATCTCTTCGATCACAATCTGCATCTCTGATGACTGTGCCCAAAACAGATGCTTCAGCAACACTGTGGAACAATCTACCCTCTACCCTGAGAAATTCAACATCTCATGACATTTTTTAGAAGGGCGTGAAAATAGCCTGCACTCAGTAGCATTTGTGACCCTTTCTGTATAGGGCGCTATGCAAGAATATTTGCATTAAGAATATTATGTATTATTATTAATTCGGTATTGGTGAGGTGAGGCGAAATTGGGTTGAACGTCGTGCTTGAGAGTAATTCGCTCATATGACGACGTGCATGCGTGTGTATGTGTAGGTGCGCCTGCTTGTACTTGCCCAGACTCAAGCTGGTTTTATAGTGCTAGCCCACTGAGATATCATGCGGCAGTGAAGCATGTATACCTCACTCAGACACATTATACTGACTCCGAGCCAACCAGTCCTTGTTGTACCCATTAATGCCGAGCACCAGGCAGGGACCAACAAGTACCATATTTTAACGTCTTTTGGTATGACGCGGTCGGGGATTGAACCCGCGACCTTCCGCTCTCCGGGCGGACGCTCTTACCACTACACCACGGAGGCGGTCCGGTATTGGTAGTCACACAGTTCATGATGCTGCTCTTAAGATCGATTCACCTTCAGAACTAACTACGAGGTTTGATAAAGATAACATGAAGAGAAATTCTGCGGAGAATAGCTTTTATTCAGCAGTTCAAAGAAGAACATACGACTGTTTGTGAACAAAACAATAATACAAAGTCTATAATCGAACTGGCTGCATCCTTGGTCTTCTCTGCCATGTTTCATGTACATTATCTAGGACTCACTTAATCATATGCCTCATAGCCTCATAAACATAAGTCATCACACATTTTTATATTATATTAGTAAAGTCCTTAACACATCATCTCGGTTATATTTGCATGTTCTTTCACACCTTTTCTTCATTATATAATAGCTGTAGAGGCCATACATCATCTTGATTAAATATGAATACACACCTTCTCACATTCTCTTTATTACATGTAACAATCTGCCTCTACACATTATCTTGATTAAATAAATGCACAAGCCATCACAAATCCTCTTTATTACATTGAAGCATAAGCAGGAGTAAACAATTCTGAATATATATAAATAAGTACAACCTTCTACAGTAGGGGATAAACTTACTTACAATTTCCAAACTGTAAGAGATGATAGTTTCCAGCAATATTTCTATGATAATAATATACGATTTATGGAACACATTACACTCAGTAGTAAGTATGGGAATAAGTTAGAGGTCTGTGCTCAATACTGGCTGGGGCATTAATAATAATATACGATTTATGGAACACATTACACTCAGTAGTGAAGTATGGGAATAAGTTAGAGGTCTGTGCTCAATACTGGCTGGGGCATTCTATGGATGATAACGATTTGTGCAAGGTAGAAGGTGGACGTTGTCGTCCCGGAAGACAAGAAGTCGACTCACACCCATGCAACCGGGACAGCAAAGGGTGTCAGTATGTTGCCCCTTCCTTGCATGGAGTGGGGTATGACACTATCGCACACCGTAACCGATCCACCGCTACATCTGAGGGTCTCAAGGTCATATTGGTTTGACGTTGTCAAAGGCACGATTATCAAGGAAGTGCAAACTAATTTGTTGGTACCTGCTCCAACGTCTGCCAATCGTAGACTGAAACATTAAACATATTGGCCGCTGACTTCTGCCAGTTTGTTGCACGCCAAATCCTGTAGTTGGCGCAGACATAAATAATGAATTAATTCAAGCAAACCACATCTGTATCATGGCCAGAATCAAAATTATTGTCAGATACAATGGGCCACAGATATTAATCGACAGTAGAAAGAGTCAAAATCAGGAATGACGCTCAACGCACGTCCCATTTACAGAGTACAGCACGTGCAAATTATCTGAATAACACATGTATTTTGGTCTTAGCTTTTACGCACATAATCCCGATTAAGACGTGTCCTAAACACTTATATTTGTTCTTTTACTTGTCATTGACATTATATATTGCATGATCCCCTACTTTTCCTTAAGAGCATACACAGGTAATGGGACTGTTAACATCTCTTGATTATATAAAAACATAAACCTTGAATACATTTTCTTGATTCTATAATACCATACACCTGAATATATTGTCCGTTTACATCTCTTGGTTATATAACTGCATAATTCCTGATTACATATTCTTGAATGTATAATGCCATACAGTTGAATTAATTGTCTGTTTCTCTTGGATAAACAATGGCAAAAACATGCATATATCTTCTTCATTACATGTATGTAAGGGCATCATTTTTATGTGTTTCACGTAGCCACAAAATTCTGAACATGGGTCAGTCGGTCGGTCGGAGAAAAAAATCCCTAAGAAACCCCAACTTAATAAAGACAAAATTATCCGAATAATGTTCTTGATTCTCTTTTATTGTAATTCTTATTACACTTTCACGCGTTCTCGGAGGAGTTTTGGGGGGCTAGGCAATAAAATTAGAAGGGTCGGTCGGGCGATGAGTGGCACAAAAAATACAAATGCTGCCCTAATAGCATAGGCCTATCTACTTCCCTTGGCGGTATAATAAAATAGTCTGTACACATATTCATGGTTGGTATGGTGGCAGTCTAATAATAGCACAGTATAAATAACGTCATGGCCAGACAATCCAGTGATGACGTAACGTATGTTAATTTTGAATAACTAAGCATGGCTTTCAGATATTGTCTTACATAGCTATATATAGGCAGGAACCTTTACCTAGAAACTTGATAACAGACAGGTATAACATGCTACACGTTTCATCTAGCAGTTAATAATAGCACAAACCCGTAAACACCAATATATTAAAGCAAATGACTGTATGTATTGTTCATTTCATAATGGTAAACAGAAGCATGTATGTTTTAGAAACAATATATTTTGGCCATCCGTGTTAATCTGATCGAAGGAGTAGATCAGATTAAGTACACTTTTCAGGACATCAATTGTGTCCGGCTATCAATTATTGTGTTGGTGTGAAATCAGACACATTTTTATCAAAGATCATTAACAAGAACGTCTGATTAAAATACCAGTTACATAATATACTAAGCAGCAAAAAAAACGTCAGTTTCGAATTTTCCTTCGCAGAAACTGTAAACTCATTTAATGTTTTGATTGTATATTTTTGAAACATCTCCACTTAAGGAATAAAAAACATCTCCGACTTTACCTGAGCAAAGACATTCCTTCCCAAACTGAGAATGGAACCCAGGAAATGGTCTCAAAAACGCAACCTGATGTCGGAGATGGTACGGTGTTCTCCATGTTTTTCATGCAACTCATGCTGCACGTGCTGTTCACCAGCCCTATAAAGTGTACCCCCAAACCTGGTTGAATCATTCACATTAAAACGTCAGCGGGATGCCGCGACAGCTCAGAGGAACCAGGTGCTAGGAAGACTTGAAGCTGGCCCACACTGCACAAGCCTTTGCCAATCACTTCCAGGTCAACGTTCGGACCATCTACAGGCTGCAGCAACGTTTCCGGACCACCAACACCACATATGATCGCCCCCGTACTGGCAGACCAAGGGTGACCACAAGGCAACAAGACCGCCATGTTGTGTGACAGTATGTACAGAACCCCTTCCATGCTGGCGTCCGAAACAGCACGCCAGACAGTGGGAACACACGGAAGACCAATCAGTACTGATACAGTACGCCGACGTCTTAACAGCGGGAACCTCCATTGCCGTAGACCTTACCGTGGACATATCATCACCCCTCGTCATCGGCGTGAAGGTTCTACAGTTTGCCTTACAACACCAAAACTGGCGATCAAGGAAATGGGGAACAGTTCTGTTCACAAATGAG